GGAATCAACGTTTCTCTGCCACTGGGACAGGTGTTATGAATTTCGTGACACACACACACACACACACACACACACACACACACACACACACACACACACACACACACACACACACACACACACACACACACACACACACACACACACACACACACACACACACACTTATTAGCGGATTATATATAGTAGGATCATTCTACCGCGAATCATTCAATTATTTAGATCGGGGCGAGATCTTCGCGTACTTTTTCCTGTTACCATCTGAACTAGACTGCGAAGATACATCGAGTATACGAAAGGGAAACATGTTAGAGGTGTAAACAGAAGGACGATGGACCGCGATACCACCTACTGATAGCGAAATGGCAAGGACTGAGAGGGATGCGAGACGCCAGATAGTCTCCATGAGATGAAAGGCAAACCTCTTGCGGCCTAACTACCCACTTCTGACATATGAAAAAGGACGCTGCGGAACGCTAAGAGCTATCTTTTGGCGGGAACTGCCCACGCGCAGATCTGCTGCTAAACCTTCTACAACCAATATCCTGGCGTGGAAAGTGCTAATATTTCAGATACTGTGGACGCAAGTATCTCATGATTGCATACACCTTATATTTCTTACATTCATTAACGGCTGTTTCATTACCTTTCAGGGCTGCATCCAACTAGCAACCAATGCGACCCCATGACCGATCAACCACTAGGGAAAGTGAGCTATCGCGGATCTAGCGTTACCGAGATCTCTGCCAGCGTTTACCAGCTAGCAGCAGCATCTGTTAGTTGACAGTCTGGGGCAATAATGGGTAGCAGACAGCTGGTAAAATATGGAAAGATAGGAGAGTAACAGACAGGTGTTCTATCGCGCCATGCTCTCGGTTCCCGACTCTGCTGGTCGCTAATAGACGCTGTGAGACCGCTAGATCTATGCTCTATACTTCTCATAGCCTCGAGACACTGATGAGAATCGCTAGATCGAGTCTTATCCTTTCTTGTCTTCCTGCTGTCGGACATTTTGAACCCTGGTGGACGCTGGACGAAAGTATGAACGCGCCCTCAGATTTTCTGCCAGATCCTGAACTCTATCTCTAGGAAGCATATTACATATCGAAATTAGTTCTTGAACTAATAAATGAATACGACCAAGTTGATGTTAAATTTGTACAACACAAATAAATCTCAATAAAAGCATACTATGTCAAATTTTTGGAAATTTATTTGAATGTAAAAAAATTTTCAGAAGGCGAGAAGGCTAATATAATGAAGAGAGCTCTGAGGGCAATAGGCTTCTGAGGTCGCAGTAGACAATTCACAGCACCTGCTCTATTAGACGTTCTATTCAACATTAGTTCGTTAATCAATATATCGATCTTTATTCAATAAATCTGTTCTGCTAGCACTCTTGAGCGCACAAAAATCAATGGGGTGTGCTGTTGGCCCTGACCAGCCCTGGGCTAAGTTCCCAGATCTTGCACAGAATTGAAAAACAGACTATTATACACTGCTGCTGTGAAGATGAATTTCTATGTTCCTCAGCCCCTGAGGTGGGTTCCACAGCTCTCGAAGTGGCCCCACTTATCAGTTACTGCCCCTCTCTTCGGAATTAGGCCCAGATTTGCCCGACTGTTCCCCGTGAGTGGGACCGGACTGCGATTTCACCTACTGAAGTAAATTGTTCACCTGAATGAACACTATGTCCCTGGGAAACCAATCGCACTTGGGAGCCCCAGTGAGATTCTGTTGCAGTGCAGTAATGTAGTAAACTTCAGTCGATGATCTGTCCTTCCAGGTCTATAAAACCCTCCAAATTGAAATAACCATCAATGCAACGCTCACCGATGTTTCCATCGATTCCCGGTCGTCCTGGAGGTCCTCGTGGTCCCTGGGGCCCAGGTTCGCCAATGACACCTGGTTCACCGTACTCTATTTGCCCTAACTCGCAAGAAGCTCCTAAAAAACAGATTGAAGAAGAACTGAAAATCCGCGATTTTCGAATGAAACCTTACCCGATAGTCCAGGAATTCCAGGCACTCCTGGCATGCCGGGAGAGCCCACTGGTCCCGTGCGACCCTTGATACCAGGCTTACCAGGTACTCCTGCTCTTCCCTGTTTTCCAGGTATAC